GCTTATTAGTACATTTAAAATTTACAATTTATAAATACCAATAACAATTATTTTTATTGTTAGATAAATAAGATACAATGTAATTTACTACCGGTAATAAAATAATTGTTATAAATAGTATTTTATTATTATCGTTACTTATTTATGAATAGTATTTTAATTTTATTAACAATCTAAAATGAATTAAACAAAATAATTATTTTGGAAAATTTATAATTAACAAGGATTTTACAATTATATTCTAATTCTAATATTAAATAGAGTTAATTTCTAAAATTTCATATTAAATAAATACGACAATTAATAATACAACTAATAAAGGTTAAATATAAAAATATAATATAAGCTGTTAAATATTATATTAATTAATTGTGATTTAATACAGTTTTCTAAACATTTAAAATTGCATTAAACAAAATAAGTAATAATAAAAAAATGATGGATGTAGATGTGCTCCCAATGTTCAACAATTATTACCTTTACTATTATCTAAAATAATTGTACTTCACAGATTTACAGCTTGTTAAAGTTATTAGTAATACTTTATTATACCTTATTAGGGTTTTATTTTATATATTATGCAATTATATTTTAAATAAATTTTAAATAATGATGCATTTTAATTTATAGCTATTTAATATAATGACTAAATCTATATTGTTTATATTTTTAAAAATGCATGAATTTATAAATATTTTTAATTCTTTAATCGCATAAATTAATTAAATAAAAATATAATTTAGTTATGATTTATCGTTAGTATTTTTAACGTTTTATTTATTAAATTTTTTTAAATTTAATAATCAAGGTGAGATTGTAAGCCAGAATATTCTTATAGTTATTTAGTTATTAAATATTGCAATTATAAAAGCAATATAATGTTAGATAATAAAATGTTTATCACTGAGTTTTACTACAGTTGTACGGTTTGTACAGTTGTATAATTATAATATTCATTTACAAACTGTAATGCTATCTCTTTCACAGCGCAAGTAATACAAGAATTATAATCAAGAAGTAAAAGTTGGACTTAAAAGTTTCGCTATAGGTTTATATGTTATTTGGCATTATTGGCAATTATGTTAATTTATTTTACTATAAATACATAAAATGAATTTGTTTTAATATTTCATATAATATTATTTTTAATTTTATTTAATTAGTTTGTACATATTATGTAATTTGCATTTTTGTAAAAAATTATCTAGAATGTATTGGTATTTGCTTTTAGATTTAAAATAAACTTAACTATGTAAATTAATTAGCTAAAATTATTAAACAACATTTTCCCATCATTATTCTAGAAAACAATTAAATAGTTCTAAATTCTGTGTCAGTCAATTCTGATCAAAGTTAAATCGTAAGACAGAATATTCCTATATTGATTATTTGGGTGTATAGTAACAGACATGCGTTGATTGATAAACATTTTGTGTAATACAAAAACTACACTCATATAATAATAAGTAAGTTGTGTTTAAAATTATATAAATGACCATGCTTAATCTGTTGAAAGCAAACCATATTACTATTTCTCAATAGAATTATTAAAACGTTTAATACTTAGTAAAATAATTAAATCCAGCTACAAGTAATTTAATAATTTTTTAATTAATGTTAACTATATTTCAATGTCATGTGAAATACAGAATGTCTCATAAAAATCAATAATAAAAAGAAAAAATATATAAATTTTCATCATATGTTTTGATACAAAAATTAATGCAAAAATATTTAATTATTGTTCTCCTGAGACAATCAATGCGAGATAATTAATATTTAAATGCAATTATAATCCAATGGGTTTTGAATTACTTCGTTTCGAGATATTGGTTGAGCCGAAGAATTACTATCGAAATGGCGATAGAGTTAACTCGATGTTAATCATTGAATTAGTGGGACATTTGAAATGCAAACACATTTTAATGACAGCAATCGGCGTAATGTAAGAACAGTTTATCTTAAACTATTTAAAATTGATTACTATTTAAGTTTTAATAATTTAATTTTATGTTTTAAAAACTGTTATTTTTGTATTTATTAGATTTATGAGGGATTTAAGGATTCGTGCGTCGAGAAACTCACACTTCATGTCAATTCCGATTAGTTTACAAAATTTAGGTTTGGATTTCTATTTAATTATAATTAATTAATAAAATTATAATTAAATATAAGTTGTATTAACAGTTAGAAGTGATGTGTTGGAAACCGGACTCTATAGGATTCCCTTTAGTTTTAATCTACAAAAGTATGTAATAATTTATTACTAATAAATTGAAAATTTTAATTGTATTCTATAATTAAATTTATAATTTCACAGTTAATTAATAAATTTTAAATATTAATTGATTACTTGTTATGACAATTAGCGCGTGTTTGCCATCATTTAAGGTGAAATACGGAGGCGTTTGCTATTATGTTGAGGCGATTATTGATAGCCAACTCTTATACGACAAGAATTCAAATGCGAAACAGGAATTCATTGTTAAAACCCATTCAAACGTGTGTCCGTCTCGTATCGATTGCGTAAGTTTTGTGTCTTTAATATTGTTTTTAAATTATTTTTGTAAATACATCGAAATGAATAGTTTTAACTTTATTATGATATTGTAGTTAAATTACTGAAGTTTACCTAAAAATATTTTTATTTAGGCTTAAAATGTATTGATATTTTGTGATATTGTAAATTTATTTATACTGTAATAATGACTAATATTTCTCTTGCTATTTTAAAATTATGAATTAATATTATAAAGTTCTGTACATTTGTCGAGATTATGTATTGAAATTATCAATATTCATTAGGTGCAAGCTATAAGCCATCTATCACAAAAAATATTATTTAAAAACGGCGTTAAATGATAAATTTTAATTTTGAACATTATAAAATCTATATGGAAGTTTAACATAGCGTTAAAAATACACTAAAACAAGTCTAGATTATTTGCCAGAATTAAATAGTTTGAGAATTATTTAAATATAATTTTAATATACTGTATATTATCATTAGAGCTACTGTTTAAAAATTGAAGTATAATTTTTAAAGCATTTAATATAATTAAGAATATTGAGTGATCCTTTATTTATTTTGTGATTATCTATAGTTATTTTATATCGTATTTTGTCAATTAATTGTTGACAATTTGTCTAAACACTTAATTTCATTAAATAAAATGATTAAAATATTATAATTTTTACAAATAAGATTTTTTCCAATGTACAGAAATTATTAACTTTACTAGCATTTAAAATAAATGAATTAAGCATATTTACAGTTCAGTATATTTATTACAAATACTCAAAATTGTTCATTAATAAATATTAAATTTTTGTCTTAATTTTATTATATATTATAAAGGCATATATTATTAAATTAATTTAAAAAATTAATAATCAAATATATAATTACACCTTGTTAACTATTTTCAGAGATCTGTGGCCTCCGTACAGGAAAAGTTATTCCGTATGTTTGGTATAAAAACAGGTGCCGTTCGACTCTCAGCACATCTCGATAGAAATGTGTATTGTTGCGGTTAGTTTTACTAATAATGATCATGGTTAAACATTTAATTTATACTCTTTTAATTCCGGTTTAAATCACAGGCGAAGTAATTTCCATACACTATCACTTGGATAACCGGTCGTCAAATACCATATGCTTTTTGCCACAACTGGTGCGGCGGACGGTGTTTAAGATGGAAGACATGTTTCGCGATATTAATGAACGCATTGACACCAATGACGGCGACAAATGTACTCCAAATTGCTCCCAATCAGACATTGTGTGCATACCTGTGCCCGCGGACTCTCTGCCCACAATCGACAGTCCATTCATTGAAATCACTTACACTATCCGATTGCTTGTCCTTAGCTCAGAGTCGAGCGAATATTTTGATGAATTGATTATATTTATCAAATAATTATATTTTTCTCTCATTTATTATTGAGTTATTTACGTAATTTTATATTGTGCCAAAATATGGTTATAGATACTACAATTTACACTTTACCATAATTTATTTTTGTTAATAATTTAGCTTGAATGATTGGTTTAATACAATATGATTAAATAATATAAACTGTGTTGTATGATATACAAATTGTATGATACATATAATTGTGTATTTTTCATTAAGAGAAATATGCACAATTTTTGAATGCATTTCGAGATTATTAATTTACTTTAAAAATAGTTTGACAAATAAAATACATTTGTTATATATTTGTAATATTAAATATATTATCTCAAATAATATAATAATATTTTGAATTATTGAAATTAAATGTTTTTAAACTTAATTAATTAAATATTTATTCTTAAATAATAAAAGTCCATTTATTAACAAATTATAATTAAAATATTTAAAAAATAAAAATCATGCTTAATATTAATTACATTAGCTTTTGTAATTATAATTATATAAGACCATCAACAAAATAATTAATATTTAATTGCAATTATAATCCAATGGGTTTTGAATTAGGATATTGGTTGAACCGAACAATTACTATCGAAATGGCAAAAGAGTTAACTCGATGTTAATCATTGAATTAGTGGGACATTTGAAATGCAAATAGATTTTAATGACAGCCATCGGCGAAATGTAAAAACAGTTTGTCTTAAAATGATTAAAATTAATCACTATTTAAATGTTAATAATTTTATTTTATATTTTAAAAACTGTTATTTTTGTATTTATCAGATTTATAAGGGATTTGAGGACTCAGGCGCCGAGAATCACTCACTTCATGTCAATTCCGGCTAATTTAAGAAATTTAGGTTTGATTCTGTTATAATCAAGGTAAAATCGTATAACAGAATATTCTTATATTGATTATTTGGATGTATAGTAACAGACATGCGTTGATTGATATACATTTTGTGCAATACAAACACTACACATATAATAAGTAAGTTTCATTTAAAATTAAATAAATTATTATGCTTATCATTTTGAAAACAAATCATATTAATATTTCACAGTACAAAATTATTGAAACGTCTATAACTTGGTAAAGTAATTAATAAGTAACTTGATAATTTTCTAATTAAAAGTAACCGAATGTTAACTCTATTTCAATGTCATGTGAAATACAGAATGTCTCATAAAAATCAATAATAAAAAATGTCTGAATTTTCAATATATGTTTTGATACCAAAATTAATGCAAAAATATTTAATTATTGTACTTCTGAGACAATCAATGCAATATAATTAATACTTAAATATAATTATAATCCAATGGGCTTTGAATTACGCCGTTTCGAGATATTGGTTGAGCCAAAAAATTACTATCGAAATGGCGATAGAGTTAACTCAATGTTAATCATTGAATTAGTGGGACATTTGAAATGCAAACACATTTTAATGACCGCCATCGGCGAAATGTAAGAACAATTTGTCTTAAAATTAATCACTATTTAAATGTTAATAATTTAATTTTATATTTTAAAAACTGTTATTTTTGTATTTATTAGATTTATAAGGGATTTGAGGACTCAGGCGCCGAGAATCACTCACTTCATGTCAATTCCGGCTAATTTAATAAATTTAGGTTTGAATTACTATTTAATTATAATTAATTAATTAAATTTTGATTAATTATAAGTTATTTAAATAGTTAGAAGTGATGTGTTGGAGACCGGACTCTATAGGATTCCCTTTAGTTTTAATCTACAAAAGTATGTAATAATTTATTACTAATAAATGTATTTCATAATTAAATTTATAATTTCACAATTAATTTATAAGTTTTAAAAATTAATTAATTAATTGTTATAACAATTAGCGCGTGTTTGCCGTCATTTAATGTGAAATACAGTGGCGTTTGCTATTATATTGAGGCGATTATTGATAGCCAACTCTTTTACGCCACGAATTCAGTAGCAAAACAGGAATTCAATGTTAAAACCCATTCAAACGTGTGTCCGTCTCGTATCGATTCCGTGAGTTTTGTGTCTCTAATATTGTTTTGCAAATTATTTTTGTAAATACATAAAAATAAATAGTTTTAAACTTTATTTTTTTTACAAATTCAATTTAATGATTTTAAATGTTGTAAACTTTTATAGCGTAATGAAGTTTACCATATTTTTCTAACTATTCTAAAATTGTTACTTAAAATTTTGTAGAGTAATGTACATTTGTTAGCATACATTAGGAAATACATTTCATATCAATTCGGACTACCTTGATTACGCAGAAAATGATTCTGTAGTAATTTTATATAATATTTTGTTAATTAAAGTTATGTTACAAAGTTATCTAAAAACTCAAAATTTAACAAATAAAATGATTAAAATATTGTATACGACTAAAAATAAAAATTTAATATCTATGAACCGACGTCACCCAATGTACAGACATTTTTAACTTTACTAACATTTAAAATAATTTTATTAAACATATTTACAGCTTGGTATATTCATTACAAGTGCTTAAAATTATTTATTTATTAATATTAGAGCCAAATATTATATAAATATCAAATATTCAATTGTCTTAATTTTACTATATAAAGTTTATACTTTACAACAACATATTATTAAATTATATTTAAAATTATTAAAACAAATATATTGTTACATTTACATGAAATATAAGAGTAAGTAAAGTAAAAGTTACTTTATATACGAGAAAGTCACATTTCATTTAATTATTTTAAAAGTTACTAATCAAATATATAATTAAACCTTGTTAACTATTTTTAGAGACCTGTGGCCTCCGTACAGGAAAAGTTGTTCCGTATGCTTGGTGTAAAAACAGGTGCCGTTCGACTGTCTGCCCACCTAGATAGAAATGTTTATTGTTGCGGTCAGTTTCAATGATCATGGTTAAACATTTAATTTATACCTTTATAACTCCGATTTATATCACAGGCGAAGTAATTTCAATACACTATCACTTGGATAACCGGTCGTTGAATAAGATATGCTTTTTGCCACAACTCGTGCGGCGGACAGTGTTTAAGATGGAGGATATGTTTCGCGATTTCAATGAACTCATT